GAGAGAGAGAGAGAGAGAGAGAGAGAGAGAGAGAGAGAGAGAGGAAGAGACCTCAGCTCCAAGAGTGATGTGTAGAGAAATTGGATGTAAAGAAAACCACCTCCCCAAACAAGAAAATGACAGCACTAGAGAACTTCCACTTTATTTGAAATTCAGATCTCATCCTAAGTTTGATCTAAAATTCAATCACTTCTTCACTCGTAAGCAAGTTTTAGCCAATGGCTTGGGAAGAGGAAGTTTATGAAAGAACATGTAGAATCAATTCCTGAGACAGTACACAGATTTTGTTCTTCAGGACAACCTCTCCCCTCCTGAGCTTCACCTCACCCAAAAATTCTGATCCATAAGCAAGAACAGAGGTATAAAACCTAATTAGAAAATTGAATGAATTTTAAAATGAATTAAAATGAATTTTTAAAATTCACATTAAAAATGAATTTCCACAGAAATATGCACTTCTCCACCAGATTTTAGCTTCACGGAATAAAATGTTCTATAGTATTAGTGTTAGGTTTTCTTTTAAAGACTATAAAAGCAAACACTCTCAACCATGATGCTTGATGCTCAATATGCCATCAACACACCAAAATGGACTTTATAATCTGATGATAACTAGACTTTAAGTTGGCAGCCAGTGCTGAGAAAGAGAGAGAGAGAGAGAGAGAGAGAGAGAGAGAGAGAGAGAGAGAAGGAACTGACAATCAATAGATGCTTTTACAGGTTAAATCTTGTCGAAGGTGCTTTATTCCCTCAGTACACTTTGATTTATTTAAGCTCACCACATTTCTCCTAAATACACTCCATTAACAAGTGATAGACTGTGATCCCAGGCTGGAGGCAAAACATGAAACACAATCTTTCAAGAACTTCATTCATTCCCTGACCAGGTGTCTTGCACACACCCAAGTTACTAGTTACTTACCTAACTCTTCTAAGTTTTGTTTTCTTTTTTCCAAATCAATAGTGGTGCTGTAAGGCAGCATGGGGTCATGAAATCACCTAGCAGCCCAATAATTTGGCCTCCCAAATTCAGACTCAGAGCATGAATGAAAGTTCTCAAAGGAATGATTTTTTTTTCAAGTTTCAGGTTAAATATGAGGAGACAGAAACTCACAAAGATACCTCTGGCCTGGACCCAGGCAAAGTGGATAAGCACATCTACAGGGAAACCTGGGCTCTATAAAAATCATCAATGGCTCACATAGAAATTAAATAAGAAAAAGGAAGCAAGAAATAGTGTTAACACTAGGATTCTAAGCATGTTCCACATCTATCCAAATTAGGATCTCAGATATTAAGTACCAATCAAATTATTAAATATGAGCGAAAGCTCCTCCCCCACATCTTTCTCCAAGTGAAGACAGAATTTGCAGGCTGACAGGAACAGCTTTCAAGGATACCCTATTAATGTGACCCTATCTTTAATCTACAGCCATGATAAAATGTCCCAACATATACAAACTCAGCTCCAACAGTGACTAATGACCATTAATCCCCTATCTTCAGTAATCTGCCCTTCCAGTCATTCATCACCCTGACACCTAACTTTACACACGTGAATAAACTTTAACTGAGAAGGTGAAACAAAAAGTACAGAAAAGAAGTGAAGAACGAGAAAAGGAGAGGAGAGGAGAGGAGAGAGAGATCTATATGGGGCATTTCAGAAACGCCCGGAGAGAAAGGGACAACTGGTCGACCCGAAGGATGACAAAATTTGCACTAAGTCCGAGACGGACAGCTGGTCGACCTCGTAGGCCCAGAGGAGGGGAGGGGAGTGGAGAGGAGAGGAGAGGAGAGGAGGAGAGGAGAGGAGAGACAAATAGACCAGATCTTAATGTTTTTGATTTGCATCCACAGCTGAGGGTGGGGAATGGTGACTATTCAATCACCCAGGTATGCAAACCAATTATAAAAGCTGCCTTTCAGAAAGGGGGAGCTGAAAGCCGGGAAAGGTAGCCACAAAGAATTAGTTTAATCTTCCCATCCATCTGCTGTGACATGGATGAGATTTCTGAGGCTGAAACTTCAATTTCTGTTTTCTTCAAAGGAGTAACAATTTAGTGAGTCTCCTATTTAGTGTAGTTCAAATGTGCCTTGTAACTTTCAGCCAGGAAGCGCTCTCCTCTCAGGGGCTTACATTCTTTTCTGAGTTTATTTACTATCACTTAGCTGATGTGGGTTTTCCTCTTTTCCTTTTTATATTCTGTTAACTACTTGGCTTAAGTAAAACCCTTGATCAAAACATCAAGAATCACCAGAGACCACAAAATGCTCAAACTAGTCTTCAAAATTATTTCTTAATTATGCAAATTAAGTCGCTCTAACCTTTAGGCCCTGATGCAACTTGAGGCTCAGTATGTGACTATAAAATTCCCCAAGGTGTGGTGTGTGTGTGTGTGTGTGTGTGTGTGTGTGTGTGTGTGTGTGTGTCTGAAACTGGATCCATGATTGAAACCAGAATCTACGAAAAGGTTAGAAACAAAAGTTGAGTGCAAGGCTCAGTCACCCACAGTGAAAGCTTCTTTGAGGGCAAGAAGAGACACAGTGCCTAGTCTCACGACAGGAGGTTTCTTATGTTGCATCTTTCCAACACTTCATATGGAGTTTCAGAACTATTTAATTCATCCTACAAATCTAAACCAGCCTTCTGTTCTGTCTCGCCAAAGAGGACTCCCAGGCAACTAACTGTTCCCTTTCAGACACTTGACTTGAACCGCCTGTTTTCCTTCTAAACCTAGCCAGGCAGTGGCTAGTTTATATCCTACCATGAGAAGGAGTTATTTCCTGAAGTTTCTTCAGAATCGAATTTAATTACAGACCTTGGTTACATAAAACAACTACTAATAACCCCTTGTGCTGGGAAGAGGAGGGGCGGATTGGAGGACCAGACTCTGGAATCCCCGGGAGTTTTTATCACAAGTTCCCCGCACAAGCTCACCCCTCCACACCCGCATCCGCTAGGAACCCGCCGATGGATGGTACTCTTCTGGGCTGATTCTGAGCCAAAGCTCAGGGCCACCCTCAGCCTCCTCCCACCGTGGTGCCTAGACAGGCTTTTGCCTGGAGTAAACTGGGCGTGCCTTGAACTTGGCAAAAGACCGAGGTCTACCACGAGATTTGGGGAGGTTTCCGGAGAATTGGGGGGATGGGAGGGACAATCTCAAATGCCCCAACTCTAAAATGCCTTTTCCTCTAAAAGTTCTGCAGAGGTCAAGCCCTTCTGCCCTGAGAAGAAAGGGTGCGAAGAGGCGGTTCAGGGTTCGATTCTAAAAAGTGGAGTGGGGTCAAGCAAAGGAGTCCAGGGGTGAAGAAAGAAGACGCGGGTTACCTGAACAGAAACATATTAATCCAAAGAGGTAAAAGTGAGCAGGCTCCGCGATCATTGTCCTCGGGTGGGTCCTGCATACAGTCTCATGCCAAATGAAGGGAGCAGAAATGGGGATCTCCAAATTTACAGAAGCCACACACCATATACCCTAACACACAAAGGCTTAATATAAGCAACGGGAGTCAATCCGCCAGGAGTTTTCAGTGCAATTTCGCGTCGACCTTTTCAGAGGCTTGTCAATCTCTCAGAGCTCTTTGCAAAGGAACAATTCCAAGGTTTGTCTTCTCCGACCCCCGGGTTTCGAGGAGGCTCAGCCACTTCCTAGGATCATCCAAAGCGAACAACAAAGAGCCAAGCAGAGGAGCAGTGGTGTGGTTTCCTGCCTCCACAGTCCCGCTGAGCTTCCCGGCGGGCGCCCTCCCGACCTGTGCGCGGACGCTACTGGGAGGGCAGGCGCAGCGTCTGCAAAGTTGGGGTATGACAACCGATGAAGGAACCCCCCCGAAAAGTGCTTCCCAGTCTATGGGAGAACCCGGACCGCAGCTGGCCACCCGCTCAGGCGGTTGATGGCAGGCAAGGTAGAGGAGGCAGGTTGGGAAGACAGTCTTGGGGTTGTTGGGGGTGCGTCGGGGTGACTCCAGGAGCCGGAGGCGAGCAAGGGGCAGTGCGGCAACAGTGAGTGCCTGGGCGGGTCCTTGTTCCCATCACTTGCGGGATGCCGGGAGCACTGGGGACCGCAACGGGACCGCGAGTGCACGCACGCCTTCCGAGAGCCCCCAGCCCCGCGCAGCGCCCATCATAGCTTAGGGTCCTGCTTCCTCTGGGGCGCGCGCGCAAAGCACCCCCAACCCACGCTGCAGCCCAAACTTCCCGGAGCCGCTGCTCACACCCGGCGCTCGTGGAAGCTGCGGAGGGGCAGTTCCCTGGCGTCCCCGGTGGGCTGGAGAAACGCGAGCTGGAGGAGGAGGAGGATGCTGCGTGTGGCTCGCCCGAGCTCCGCCCGGAGCAGCAGAATCTGAAGTTTCTGCACTCACGCTGCCTCCTCTCGGCTCAATTGCTTATGGGTTTCCCCCACGGTCCCTGCAAATCCTGGTCTCCTCCCTCTCCAGCCCGGCCTGGGAACCCTTAAAGGGGCCGTGCGGTCCCTGCCGTGCCCTCACTGGCGTTGCTCAGGCAAGTTCTGCTTGTTAATATTTCCATCTACAAGCTCGTGGTGCCCGACTGCGCCCTCGGGTGCGAACTCTACAGCTCAGGAGCGGATATCTTTGTGAATGAGAACTTGTCTAGCCTCTCTTGACACTCTGGTCTCCCCTGCACCTTTCTCCAAATGGAACCTCCCAACCCAAAGACTTCAAAAATCCTCCAGGTCCTGCTTAACCTCTTCCTTACCGCTGGAAAGGATTGCAGTAACCTCCTAAATAACTTCATTCCGCCCATTAACAAAAAAAAAAGGGGGGGGGAGCAACTTTGAGCAGTGAGCCCCTAAAAGAGACAGAACTGTATCAGTGCATGGGTACTGTTTATTGAAGTTGCTGGGGGTCCAGTAGAAAGGCTATTCAATTCCAGGGGCGAGCGTTTAGGCCTTAGAGTCTACGCATTATATAGTTATGAGAGTTTCTTCAACTTTTTAGCCTGCACGTATTAGAGAGTTAACAAGGGGGCGGTCCCTTCATATAATTTGTTTTTTCAATGCTGAACATTCAGCATTTCAAAACCACTGGGCCGCCCCAAATCCCAAGACACGGATTAGCTCTTATACCTGTGACCATGACAGCGCTGTTCAGCAGTTGGAAAAATAGGGACTGTAGGATAACTTCATGATATAAGCCAATTACGCCCAAAGTACAACGTAACTGGGACAGCTGACAGACATGCTTTCATTCATTCGTTTTTCTTTCTTTCTATTAAATAAGACACTATGGAAAACATTTTTGTGTGTTCGTAAATGGTAGGTGTTGCCACATAGAGCTATTCTTTTATTAGTAAATTACTGTCTGCAAAGTTACATACCAGGACTGCCACATGAGCATTTAGTGCCTTGGCCTTTGGAAAGTAATATTGCACATTGGATAGGTGCAAGGGAGGCAGACTTGAATTTTTTTTTGTACAAAAGTGTTTTTATGGTTTTTCTTTAAGTGGGTATATGAATTATCTAATTAAAAACTCAATTCTAAAAGCAAATTGTATACTCATTTGAGTCATGGCTGATATAGCCAATGCACTGGGAGCAGCAGTCTGTGGAAAGAACCCTTGCCTAACAGCACCTACTTTGAAAGTGAAAGAGTTTAATCCTGAGAAAGCTGACTGAAAATTCAGCAAACAGACTGGAGATAAGAAGTGAAAGACTCCAACCAGAATCTTTTCAGCAATAATAATAAAAAAAAAATATGTGCAGTAAATGCTGAAAGGCAAACATTGATTTGGTCTTTGCGAAAGATACTTAGTGAGAAAGATAGAGCATAACTTTTTTCTTGGAGTAAAATGTACTTTTAAGATAAGCTGACCTAGGAATAGAAAATAAATAAGCTAAGCCTGATGAAAGAAGGCGAACAAGAGAGAAAGAAAATCCTCAAACCCTCAGATTATTTATGTGGATTTTAAATAAAGGTTTTGAACTTCTATTTAGTTAAGGATATATCCTTTAATTACATTTATTTGTTTATTGTGTTTTTTGTGCCACATGCACACACATGTGCACTGTGGGAGATTGAGCCTAGGGCATCATGCATGATATGTTCATGGTCTGCCACTACACACCCAATCCAAGAAAGGGGAGTGTGTGCAAGAGAATTGCCACTGCATTGTTTCCCAAGTGCATCTCTGAGTTTTCACAACTTTCCAAAGATCTTTCAGGATCTATTTCACCATCTAACACATTTCCATTGAATGGAAACCGTATCTATACTGATTTCTGTTTTCAACTTTAGTAAGTTTCACCACTAAACTCTATTCCAGTCTTGGAGATGAAATTATCTAGGAGAAGCAGCAGTAAGTATCTTCCAGGAAAGAACTATTATAGACTCTCATTGAAAGACTTTTTACTTTCTGTCAATTATATCAGTAAAATTGACATCTAAGTAAAGAACTTGTATTCTGACAGTATTAGGTATACAGGTTCAAGTCAGTGTATTAGAAAATGTTTATAATCCTCTCCTTTCACTCACTCACTCATCCCACTCACTTTTGCCCCTAGAAACAACCACGGAGGGAGCATCTAGGGCATTGAAAGTGCAAGATGCAAATATAACCTTATTCTTCAGGACCTAACAGCTCCTATGAAGTGAGCCCTAAGAGCTATAACTATTCTTCATACAGGAAGAATAAAACAGACTCCACAGTGGAGTCTGCCCCAGAAATAAAAATAAATAAATAAATAAATAAATTCTTTTACTTATTCTTCTTTTAGAAGGAAAGAGACAGGGCTGGAGAGATGACTCAGTGGTTAAGAACACTGTTCTTGCAGAAGACCTGGGTTTGAATCCCAGCACCCACATGGCAGACTAAATTACCTAAAAGAATGCAAAATTCTTAGTGTGTTGTAGGAATAAGTGTGTGTGCAGGGGTAATTATCTACATGTAGATGGGAAACATACTCAAATCAGGTCTCAGGAAATTCAGGCATGTGCAGTAGAACCCTGATTCATCCTAGATTAGTAAGTAGACAAAAGCACTAAAAGCGCTCAGGAACTCAATTCTGATCACATTTATAAGAATATGTGGTGGGAAATGGCATAATGAAACGCATGACATTGTATGCTGGATTAACAATTGGAAGAAGAGAGAGAGAAGTGGGGAAAGGAAGGAAAGAAGGAAGAGAAAACAGGAAGGAGAGGTAGCAAGGGAGGAGGGACAGAAGGATGGAAAGAAAACAGTAGTGGGTTTTTTAAGTCTCCATTTGGAGACCTTGATTTTATATGAAGCTTATGAAATTCAGGATCTCTCAAAGAGCCTCCTTGAGAGGCTTGAAGAAAGCTGAAATTAATGCATTCCACCAATAATCTCATGACTGTGGACTTTTGACAGGCAAAAAAAAAAAAAAAAACACTAAATAGTGACCTCTAGGGTTGCTTGGATTGGATTTTATCTTTCATGGGGGTAGCTGCAGGAACTCAGGAAATAACAAAACTCCCAGGGTCTCTCCAGGAATCCCAGATAGCACATATTCCAATCAGGAGGAGCAGAGTAGAGTTCCTAAGGAAACTACAAACCAGAACATCTGTCTGTCTTCCTTCCTAGCAAGAAGCCTTAGCATCAAACAGAGCCTGGGATGCAAGCCACAACTTCCAGCAGATCTGGTGAGTAGATCTGGCAATGTAACTCAGTAAGGCTCTGCTGACTACTCCAATATATCATCCCTCAGGGTACAACAACAGCTTGTTTAGCAATTTTTACATGAAATTGCTGGATAATCTGTGCAATGTTTGTTATCCAAAATACTAGTCTAAAATGATAGTTAAATATTTCTCCAAGTTTGCAGATATACGTCCCTTATCAGAATATAAGCTTAAGTACTCCTAATAAAAAGTGAACAAAGTCATATTTATTGAAATAACCATTGCATTTTGAGAACCCATGTCTATTTACTGTCTTATATGGTACATAGGGCATAACCATACTTTTTTTGCTGCTTCTCTGAGACTTAGAACTGGTATGTGTTCCAAACCAGAAAGCCAATGGGAGAAAAGACTCCTCGGACCATTTGTTTTCATTTTCTTAAAGGTTTAAGTCACTGGTGATGAAGCCAATAGGCAATGCTTTCAGTACAACCTTTTAAAAGGTAGGAGAGAACCCCATTGACCCCCTCCTCCATATATCCTCATCTTGCTAAGGCTTTCTTAGATCTATCAAAAATGGAATCTGTGACACATTTAAATTTGCTGTGAAATGAATGCCATTATCGTTGCCTTTTAGCATCTCAGCATGTTGAGACACTGCAGAAACTGTAACATTGTACTAACTATGCAGTAGATCCTGGGACCTTAGGTTTCATCCACAATGGATCTCATTACAGTTTACACCTTTAATGTTCACAGGCGGCTAGTATTTTAAGAGTAAAGAATAAAAGGGCACAGAAAGATAGAATTAATCAAGGCCATGGTTTGGGGCTCTTTACAAACATTATCTGATCTAATTCTCACCATATGAGGTGCTGTTATTATCCCAATTTAGAGATGAGGTCTTTTAACCTCTTTTAAGTAAAAGATTAACTCAGAGTTCAGTGGCCCAGAAGCCAGGGAGCTTATATTTGAACCCAGCCTGTTTTGAAGCAAAGTACTTGGGAATGGGAATGGAAAAAAAGAGTTCCATGGTAGGGTAGGCTTAGGAGACTTTGTATTCAACATATTTGAGGCCTTTAACATGCAAATAAGCATTGTGGGTCTCCAAAGGAAGATATATATGGGTAAACTTGTCTCTTGGGTAAACATCTCTCAGTCCATAGCTGGCTAGCACTGCAGCATCACCTCACTTCTAAAAACAAATATCCTCAGCTTTCCTGATGACTCCACAGCTATCTGGCAGGAAACCTGTGTTAAAATGAGTAGTGCAATGATCCTTCCTGAGAAAGCTCATAAACTGAAGTAATCGTAACTGTACTTCCAGATCATTTTTCATAAGGCAACCAGAGGAAACCTATTAAATCTTGAGACAGACCAAGTTTCTGCTCAGAACCCTCCAGTGATTTCCCATTCCTCTTCTAATTAAAAGTCAGTGTCCTTCCGGAAGTCTACAAGACTCATGATAGGCAGTTTGCCCATCTTTGCCCAACATCCTCTCTTCTCACTAGTGCTTGCCTTCCACTTACTCTGCTCTACCACAATGGTCTCCTTGCTGATGCTAAAATAAGTCAGACAAGCGTGTGTGTCAGAGATATTTCATTGCTGTGTCTGGAATACTCACCTCTGTAAATCTCCCTTTTCACTTAAGTTTCTGTAACCTGAAGTCTTCTCAGAGACTTTTTTTTTTCCTGGAACACTGTCCTTAACATTAAATCTTAACACAAGGCTTAGAATACCCTGTCATACTTTGTTAAAGCATTTTGTTATCTTTTATTTCCCCACCTAAGGTACAACTTTTTCCTTCTTTATTTTTATTGGCTGATCTTCATCATAAGATGTTAACAAGTCCAGAAATTCTTGCTATTCACTTTGTCCATTGTTCCAACATCTAAGACAGTGGCTGACACCTAATAGACACTTAAATGCTTATCAAATGAATACAGGAATTCTTATTCCACTACCTATAGATTTTTTTTAAAAAATGTCTCTTTAATGAACTTATTTCTATTGTTCAAAAATTAAATTTCCACATCAT